CCTCAGTTAAACAGAGAAAAATCACAACACAAGGGTATTCCATAAATTTCAGTTATTTAAGTATGCCTCTCAAGAATGGGCAATTGAAGTTTATTTGTATCAAGGTGATGGTAGAAGTCTCTGGCTAGTAAAAAAAAGCCTGACTTATCTTTTAGCAAATTTTTCAGTTCTCTGTAATTCAGATGCTCTTTCTGCTTCCACTTTTGGGCAGCTAGCAAAAGGGAAGAGAGAAATTTGGATGACCCCACATCTTTATCATTGGCTCTACAACTTCCTAGAAGTAGTAGCTTTTTGAAATTATGCAATGTCCTCTACCAATGACAATGTATGGATGATATTACATTTCCTTGTATGAAAATGTGCTATTTTCTGGCAGCTCTGAGGGTCATGTAACACAAATGGTAAACAAAAAAGCATTCTGTGCATTCTTAGATCTTTACATTTTTATTTTAAAACAAAATTTCATACTGATTAATACCTACTTTTAAACAGAATGATGCATTAATAAATGCCTTGTCATAACTATTATAAGCTCTGTTAGAAAAATAAACATCTCAAACAAACTACAGTGTCAGCTCTTTAATAAATACATAAAACAGAAGTTAGTAGTCAATCAGAATTACATGAACATGTTCATAGTATAGTTTCTGAAATTATCTTATTCCCCAATTTTCTGTGACATTTAAGGCAATTTAACTATGTATAATTCAAAGCCAGAAATAATAAGAAACTTGTTTAATGAGAATCTTTCTTTCATAAGAGCTATTTTAAATTCAAATATTTTAATTTAAAAATACACTCTATATTAATTTTACTTTTTACAAAGACAGGACTTGTTAAATGAAACAAATAAGGTTATATTACTGATAATTTAAAAACATTTCTAAATTATTTTTGCAGATGTTTAAAAAACTTTAATGAAGTAGCTGGTAAATGTAAAATAGTTTTAAAGTTATGTTAAATATACACGAAATGAATTTCTATATTATGTGCAAATTTATATTTTCTTATAATTTAGAATTAAAATATTTCATATCCAACATTCTTAATAAAATTTATGTACCATAAATTTTGTCATTATGGGGAATTCTTATCAAAATCACATTTATCTGTGATACAGTGTAAAGTTAGTAAATGTTCTTTACACAAATCACACATTTCCATCCTTGATAACTGCAGGTTTTTGTTTTGTTTTTTAATATTGTTGGATTAAATAATTTTAACTGAAACAGGTCATAGAGGTTGGAAATCTGATTAATAGAGTTAGTTTACAAAGATAGATTTTATGCAGGAAAGTATGCCAGGTAGATAAAAGAGTAGTGTTATTACTCTCAGCTATTTCATTAACAGCTGCCCAGATAGCTGAACAATTGTTTCATATAATTCAAATAACTTAAATACGTAGTTTTATGACAGTCATTATATGGGCTTGAAGGCAAATTCATCAAAGCCAAAGAAAAAAGTCAAACAAAAGAGCAGAAATGAGAAAGAAGTATAAAAAAATGAGAGGACTTGAAGGGAAAGTTTTTTTTTCCCTACAGTACTGATTGCTTGTATCATATTTTTCATCTGTCATTGACATAAGACATACGAGATGCTACAAAATCTAATTGTGATGGTTTCATACATTTTTCCAGTTAATTCTGTTTAAAGTGAGATGATCATATGAAAGTATTCTTTAGAAAGGAATAGAAAGATTAAAAATTTGTTAGCAAAACTGGGAGAAACCCACCCATTCTTGTCAGTTAAGTTAGGTTTGCTGAAATTGTAGCCACTAGCATAAAGTATACATAGGAAGATGAAGAGCTTTTATAACCTAAAGGTCTGCAGGATCTGAGCTCATAATCAGACAGGCTCCATGATGAGTTGTATGTGATTCAGTTATACTGAAAATTGGTCTCACATGTTATCATAAACAGGTTCTCAAATATTTATAAGAAAAGGAATGTTCCTATCCCCATGAACATTTAAGGATGAATTAGTGTAATACTTATTCAAGTACAACTTCAAACACTGCATCTAAGATGCCAGTGATTGCAAGATATGTCACAATTTTAGAAATGTGAAATTGAAAAGCAGATATCTTAGAATCAATGAAATATGAATATGTATAGTCAGTTATCCATAATAAAATTGCCATACAGTAATTATAAAAGAAAAAGGAAATGATCTGAAAGAATGCTAGTTCTATACTTCTCTGAAAATATATCTGTTTGCACTGTATGAAATGGAGTTCTTAAGGTCAATATAAATAAGGATAGTTGTAAATTAAATATTGAGTATATAAAACAATACAATATGCACATGATTGAACTCCCAAATAGCTATATTTCACTCAATACTTTCACTAAAGATACAGATCTCAAACCCTTTAGACCTGAGAGAAGCTCAAATGGCTGTGAAAATTTTAAATTCTTAGTTTTTAATGTGTATGTCTTGGTTCAGTTACATGATGAATTCTGAAATCATCAAGAGATGTTTGGAAACGGAGAACTTCCTTATACCATTACACTGAGTTCTTTTTCACAATAAGCCTTATTGAGCTTAGAGTTTTAGGGCAATCTCGGGAAAAGTGAGTAGGAAAACCAGGAGCAAGGAAGGAAGGAAAAGCCATTGAGTCTAATTTACTATACCATGTAACCAGAAGGAATATAATTCTATGGAGAAAAATTTTTATAGTTCATCATAATCATATTTCAGTGCCTCATGGATATTTGTTGTCATATATAAGAATATTTTTAATGGGATTATTTTAAAGGGATAATGTTTTTTAAAAATTTGGAATTTTTCCTTTTGTGAAGTGTTGTTGTATTTGATGCATCTACCAATTTTAAGTTTTTGAAAAATCTGCCTCCAAAGAAATCTACTGTTAACCTTAGATTTTTGTATCCTTATAAACCAAAGCTATATTGAACATTCAGTTCATAATCAGATTTTTAAGTGAATTTTTGAGTCTTTCAGAGAATGTTTATGATTTCATACATTTTAATAAGTTTCCAAAGAAGATATCAAATGTTTGTAAATCCATGTACCCTGTGGTGTAAAGATGTTCCCAGAGAAGTAGAATGCATAGAGTTATATTGTAGTGTGTATATGGCACATTTCTAAATCATTACATACTTTAGAGCACAAAATGCTATCGTACCAAAAGTGTTGTTCAAGTTCTGTGTTAACTATTTAACATTTCATTATTTGTTTAATATCATGAATCTCAAAAGTCTCCTGTGGTCATGTTAGTTGAAAATAGGCTCTATTTACATAAATTATTTAAACTAAGAATAAAAATACCCTGTTTTCCCTTACCTTTTAATTAATTCTAACTAGTCAAATATTAATTCTCTTCTCATAAGCCATTTTACAGGAAAATATCCATTATTCAAGTAAAATATAAGCTCTAAAATCTTTAAGAATCAGGTCTTTAAGTAAAAAAAGAAAGCACAAGACATCACAAGCATAACTACAATCATCATCAAGCATGGAACTGCCTATCAGGAAGCTTGTCTTTTCCTATGATAACAGCCTTGGTCCATTATATTAGTGCAAACTAGTGAGAGCATAAAAATATAAACCCTTGATTTTTAAGGGTTTCATTTGATTATGCTCCTTTGGATAACTCATTCCACATGGAGATTAGCTTACGAACATTATAATGTTCATTTTTTAAATTGTCAGCATTTTAATGAATGGATGTTTTCCACTTTTTCCTTTTGGAGAGCTATCAGGTATCCAATTTTTCTTTTTAGAATGGATACTGTGTGTGACAGGCAGCCTGCAAAGTATGATCTTTACGTTATCCTTGGTGATCAAAGGTATCTTACACAAGTGAGTCACAGTACTGAATTATGTCAGTGTCCCCAGTCTCATTAGGGGAAGGAAATACAGTTCAACTTAGCATCATAATTGCTTGGCTGTAGAGGACAGTTAATGGAGCTGCTGTGCTTGTTTGCTCCAGAACAACTTATTATATGTTTTAAAATCCTCTTTGGGGTAAAATATGGGGTGGGAGTTTGTCTTCATTAAAATGCAAATATCTGGCCTTTCTTCAAGTGCTGGAAGACAAATTTGGGAAGTTAATTATAAGAAAACATTTTAAACAAATTCCTTTGTTTTCATAGGCAAAGCTCTGTACTACACACAGGGCTATTGGACTTATAGCCAACAAAATCAGACTGAATAAGTCGGTAGGGATATGGTAATTTTGAAGAAGTTTCCATGGGGTAAGATAAAAGCTCATGGCCTCTGTATCAAGCTCTCAGGCTGAGCACTGCACAACTCACAGGCTGTGGTGTGAATGGATTTCCCTGTAGTTAGGCCATGCAGCATTCTCTTAGAAGCTGATTAGCAGGAAAGAATGGAAGCCAGTCATGGAATTCAGTTTGAGTTACTCTTTTCTGCTTTGCTTTGAAATTTTCTCATGTCATACTCAAGACTCCAGTAAATCACATTTAAAAATACTTCCAATCAAATATTTTAAAGAATCAAGAGGTAGCATGATATGGTGCAATGAACACTAGCCTGGCAATAAGAAGATAGAAGTTCTCTTCAAATGCTGCCACTTAATCACTTGGGCGTTTTTTAAGATATCATTTAAACTTTCTGAGCCTCAGTTCCCTGACTCAGTAAAAGGATGAATTAGCTTATTTCTAAGATATTGTCTATCCTCCTCCAATTGTATACTTTTAAATTCTGGTGAGTACGGTTGAGGTGATTCAGGCAAAGAACTCTTTAGGCTGCACTGAGGGGTGAAAATAATATAGCTTAATATAGCTTTTAATTAGAAAAATGCTAATATCTACTTGGAGTAAATATCTGAGAGAACTCACTAAAAAATGTGGCACTTTGAGGCAGAGTTTCTAAACACCTTGTGATCTTCAACCTGATGATTAGACAAATGAAATGGTAAAGCATCCAGTTTATCAGGTAAGAAGATATGTCAGACTCCACATCTGCACACAACGAAGCTGTTCGATTTTGATGTTACTTTACAGTGTCCCTTATTAAACATTCAGCTTTTAAAATCAGTATTCTAATAAAGTGACATTGTATTATTAGGTTTTTATAGCAGTAGTAACTTAGCACTTATTTAATCCAGTCATCTGTGACATATATAAACCTATCCTGTAAGAAAGAAAAAATATAAAGGCAAAGAGAGAATGTTGAAATTAGTATCTTGTAAGAAGCAGAAAACAAACACATGCATAACACTACACAGTTTCAAAAGCAATATCCCTCAAAATTAAGGTTTTATCTATTAACCTCTTGAATAAGTGAAACACTAACCATTTATTCATCTAGATGTTCTTGTCTATTCACTGCCAATTGTTGAAGTGTTTGGCAACAGTAGTATAACTGCCTTTTATTTTTTTCATCCACACGTTTGGTGCAGGGATTACTGTACCCTTGTAGTGACACAGCATTTTCTCTCTCTGGGAAGCATAGGAATGGCAGGTACCTGTAAAGTGTAATCAGTGCTCTTCAGATGATCTACATTCTATGCTGATCTAAATAAGTTATATATTACAGTAAAGTGCTACAATGACACTAGTCTCAAACAGTAGTAAGACACATTTTTCTCTGAAAAATTCAGCAGCGATGTGAGTCACATGATGATGAGGATGTTTGTCAGTCTTCATTCAAGGGGACAACCAGCAACCAGCATGATCTAGAACAGTTTGTCTCCTCCTGTGACTTCTAAAATTATATATTTTTAGGAGCAAATATTAAAAATCCAGTTTCCCATAAAGTACTTTTTATCTTTTTAGAAGTTGCACCTGAAAGTTTCATGAGCATTTAATTTGCTCATATCCATTTTTATTTCTTCAGGCTTCTCACGTCGGTAGGTTACTGCTCTTGTGCAAACACTTTGCAGAATCAACTTGTCCTTGATGGAGAAAAAATAATATTACTTAACAGTCTAAATATTGGAAGTAGACAATGACATACTGATAGTAATTCTTTTTTAGAATTCACTGACCTTTTTTGAGGCCGACACCCTGTAATCTGCCGAGGACTTAATTTTATTACTATTCCATTGTAGTATCACCTGTCTAATGATAAGGACTTTAAGCAACCCAATCAGGAATGTAACTATGAAGATGATGAAAAATATTCTTAAATAGCTTGGGCTAGAGAAACATTCTGTAATAAAGCAAACAAATAAATGGATTAAAAACTGGAATGAGTAAATCAAAGGATTCTAACAAGCAAACAATGTTCTCCATCTCAATTAATAGGACCAGAGATATTTGCAAATCTACATTTTCAAAACAGAAGAATGTCATTACTACTGATTCAAAAAGTAACTCTGTAATTTTTATTAAACATTTATTATTAAAATATTTCCAAGAGAAAACTGTTTTGGAGAATACCCACAATTAAAGTATTCAAAAATATTATTTCTTTGCAGCTTGATTCTTTAATTGTATTAGCTGGAATGTGCCCAAATTCCTTAACAAAATAAAATTTTTTCTGTGACAGAGAGGGGCAGTTTTTGTGGTGTGCATTGTTGATCACTAAGTGGAAAATGGGATTTAAAAATTATTTAACAGCTCTGTGTATCAGCATACGTTTCTCTTGTTATGCTTGCTCTTCATTCATTGCACATCAGTAATGGAAAATAAAGTAAACAACTGCAGAAGCTAAAATCAGTAGTATTCTAATAGATGAAAAAGTATTTCCTTTGAAAGTGTAGGGTAAATTTCCATTAATATTACATGTAGCCTCTCCAGGGAATAAAAGTGTCCAGCTCAGGACAATATGCAAATCTCTTTTCCTCAATTTTTATTAATTTAGTTTTTACTTGTCAGCCAAATCTGTCAAATTTTGCTTCTAAAAATTCCACTGTATATTTTTTTTCAAGAACAAATAATTACTGGCTGGAAAAGGAAAATGCTGCATTAAGAGGAGGAGCATACAAGGTCTCTGTTTTAACACCAGACCTTTGGCAAACCCTAGTTGGAAAGTCTACAGGCTCTGTGGATGCCAGAAGTATTACCCTAATCTAAGAGGAACATTGCACAATATGCCAGTATTCCACAGAATTCACTAGCTGCCCCAGATACACAAAATTACCTCCTGGCTTAAAGAGGCATGTGTTTTCTGCCCATTCTCCAGACTTAAGGGACTTCACCTAAATGCCTGAAGGTCTCCCTGAGAGGGCCTTTTGTGAGGGGGACCGGCCAAGATTTAGAAGAGCAGTCACCCAAACGTGGGTAATTTGTGTCTGAATTCACAGGGATGACCAAGCATGCTTTTGAATAAGCCAAGAACTCAGAAATGAGGCAAGGGCTCCTCTCCAAGTGGGAACATTCTAAGCCCAGTTTTCTTTGGTCAGTGATAAGGTTCCTTGAAAGAAAGGCTAAAGGGAGTCCAAAGGACTACTAATTGGAATAGAAACACCAAAAGCAAGCACAAGTCTCCTGTTGTTACTGGTCTCTCACTCAGAGAGAATCCAAGATACTTTATTCAAAGGTGGTGTCCTTGGAGTCTTCCACAGTGACCTTCAGGTTTGTGACAAGCATGCTTTTCATCCTGACAGACTGTCATTTCCCTTGGCTGACTTAGAACTAGTCAATCAGCTAAAGCAGATCCTTAAAGGGGACACGTGGCTTGATCCCACTTATTGGCTTCTTGCCTAGGAGGAGCTTAGCCAGAAGACTGGAACAACACCCTTTAAGTGTGATTGAGTGGATAGATAATAGAGGTGGCTAACAAATGCTCTTTCCCTCTCCTTCCACCATAGTTGTGAAGGGGAGGGGAGCCCCCTAGCTACCAATAAATTTCACAAATATTTCTAATGGGTTAGGATAGAGGACATCTTCAGGCTCAAATCTGCATGCATTTTAGAATGTCATTTTGGATAGACAAACATTTAGCCTTGGCCATGCCTCTCATCTTAGTCTAGGTCAAGCAAGGGCTTTTCCTAAGGAGCTTTAAGGGAATACTTTTTGTAACCACACTTAGGTCAGAGTAGGTTTGTTTACTTAACATAATAAATGACATGTTGACAGAAAGGGCTCTATTTATTAGAAAAGGCACTTGGCTTTCTGGAGTGATTGCTGCAGCCCCAGCTGGCAGCACATGGGCTCTTTTCAAAGCCAAATTCATTATGGGCTAAGATTAGTGTGGATGCAAGGGAAGAAGGAAACAAAACTGGAGAAAGTTTATTCTTCTGTGCAGTCTAAGAGCTGGAATTATCTTTACAGGTTTGAGGAGAGACTAGAAATAATAGTAGCAGTAGAAATGTTTCAAAGAAGACATAATTTCAAGCTTAATTTCTAATTCATGTGTACTTTAACCTTAACACCTGAACAAAGTGGCGTACTGGCTTTTGGCTTCTAATGAATTTTTGTCTTAAAATTGTCTTTGAACACAGCTTTTACGTGTTTCTCCCATTTGCGTGTCATCTTTTAATTCACATATTTCTTTCATATTCACTGGCTCATTTAATGTCCTACAACTCCTTGAGTTTGGTATTATTATCTCTATTACAGATGAAGAAACTGAGGCTCAGAGAAATTTTGTAAGAGGGCTGGTATTTCTTATCTATTAGTGTCAAGGGACATGCGTTAAGCCAAGGTCTTCAGACTAAAAGTTTCATGCCTTTTCCATTATGCCGCCTTTATAATCATTCACCCCTAAATTGTATTTACATCAGAATGAAAAATACCAGAAAGGAATGGCCCTTTTTAAGTTATATATTTTGCAAAAGCAGATCAATGCTACTTAGGATTTTTGGCTTCACCTGAAACATAAAAGTGAATTTTGGTTTTACATGAGGAACGTTGTATCTGGATGCAAGTTTGGGTTATGAAAGATAAGTATGGCTCCATCGTTTATCTGTAAGGATGAAATGGACTCCACGTAGGAAATTTCCACTCTTGGCTCACTGAGGCCTCTGTAGTAATTCTGCCTGGGGTACTGCCACAGGGAGGCACAGCATGAGAATTTAGCTGGGTAATTGGATGGGAGATGTAACAATTCAGCCAAACAATGGCAAATATACTCAGCTGCTTTTTATAGAGTACCACCTCTGGAAGACTGAAAACAATGAAGCAGTTAGTCCTTTGTTAGGATGATTGATTATGGGCCCTTTGGGGGAATGTGATTCTCTGCAGATACTCTTCAGTGCCTTTTAAGCTTTGGTTTACCTGATGTTTGGTCCATATAATGCTGTTCCATGAGAGCACATGAGGTTTTACAACGATCAAGTATAGCTTGAGACAGGTTGTAAGGGTGAAGGCATTGCACACAATTCCTGTAAGGACAAAAAGAAATGAAACATTTAACCTTTGAAAAGGTTGTAGCCCACAGTATTTTCTGCAAGAAATAAAATATCAAAATAGAGTACTGCTGCTTTAGGACAGCCGCCTTGTAAAACTGGGAAAGCCATGACAGTTATTTGTAATACTGGCTGAATTTACATGGCAAAATTATATTCTAACCACTAAAAATATTTTAATAATGTATAAAATCAAAATAATGAATTTTCTTTATTGAGAAATAGGAAACACATAAGATGCTTTCATCACAAATAAAACTTGTAAAAATATTTTAGAGGATAAATGTTATACTATAGAAAAGTTTAGCAATGAATACACAGTTCAAGTTTCAGTTGGGTTCGTTAGAAATAACTTCAACATTATGTTTAAGTACCGCATTTCCAAGAGAGTCACATAAATTGCTATATATAATTTTAAAAATTTTACTTGAGCTACCAGTCTGAGAAAGTAAATGTCTTAAACATTTTGAATAAAACAAATTGGAAGGCACAGTAATATTTAGAGTAGTGATCTTTGAGCAGGCTCAAACTGTTCCTGGGAAATTAGTTACTGACACAAAACAACAATGTCACCTTCATTTAACATATCACCTCTTACTCATCCATTGCTTATTTCTAGAGGTGCTTCAGAGCCACTGTCATTCTTTATTTTTAAAATAATTTTTTAAAAAAACAAAAAATAAAAAAAATAAAAGAAACCCAATAATAATAGCTAACATTTATTCTAGGATTATTATGCACCAAGTAAGTACAAAGGTTGGGTTGTTTTTGTTTTACATGAATCATCTAACTTAATTCTGTCACAGAACTATATCAGGTACTATTATTATTATAATCCTCATTATTATTTTAATCATCATGTTGCATACCTTAAGCCTTGTGTAAACAAGGTTATATGTCAGTTGTATCTCAATAAAGCTGGGGAAAAAACAATAAACACTGAATATTATTCTTTAAAACAACAAAACTATTCCATGGAACACTACATCAAAAACTAATGATGTAATGTATGGTTACATCATTAACATAACATAATAATAAAAAAAATGTGATGGTCAAAAAAAACAAACGTATTTCAAACAAGCTAAGGGAGTGAATGCCTAGATCAATTCTGATGTTTTCACAGCTATCTAGTGGCCAAAAGTTCAAATCTAAGTTTTCTAATTCCTAAATTCCCCATTCGGTTCTTTTTTAGCATGATGATAACAATTTACCTGGTAGAGAAGATCCAGCAACGTCTAAGACTAAGGAAGGCAAAATAGAGAAAGGACGAACCCAGCACTACTGAAGGACTGCTGTATGTATGTTTGGAGGTAGAGAACACGTACCAGTTTTCACTGCAGGCTGTGTGACACGTAGGGCAGTGTTCACAGAAGCGGCCGATGCTCCTGGGATCCGTGCATTCACACCTGCCACATACACACGTACCTCTTCCACTGCACACTTGGCCCTTCGGACTGACACAGTGCTGGGCTGAGGCTGACGGGCACTGACAGCGATCCCCTTCCCAGCCACTGAAGCACTGGCATCTGCCCGCTTCACACTCTCCATGCCCTGCAACAGACACTCCAGGACCTAAGTTACTGGGGCCGCTGACTCTGTGACGTGTTTCCAGACCTGAATTCCCCTCCCCCATCCGTGGAAACACACCGACCGTCAAGTGAGTGGGAACAGCATCATTTTCTATTCGTCTGATAAGAACAATGCTAGGGTTTAGGAGGGCCTATTTTCAAAGCTGTTCAGTTGTAGGGACTCTCCTGAGGCTAGACGTTGTGCTGACCGTTGTGACATCGGCTCTGCTGCTCCGGCTGCCTGGCCACTTGAAGGTCACTGGCCGTTCCGGTTTGAATGAAAAACACACAAATATAAAAAAGCCTCAAAGGCTGAAGTAATGTTAATTGTCTGTTTTAAGATCTGAAAAACAGGGTATTTGATTAATAGCTTCCATAATTTATTCTCGTGGTCTCTCGTTATTGCTAAGGGCCGGGGATAACTTGGGTCTGTGAGGCAAGCCCTTCTAGTCCTTCAGTGCCGCTAGTGCCATTTTAAAGACAAGATCTCTGGGCAAGTGGAACTAATCCTTTCCCATCTTCAGGACATTAACAGGTTAGAAGGGCATGTCCTACAGTGTGCTGTGAGCTGTTATTAGGTCATAAATGAGAGAAAGTAAGTGGGGTATGTGTGTGTGTGTGTGTGCAAATGTACACTTGTGTGTTGGGCTTGGGGGCATGCAGACAAATGAGTTGAGGGGAAACACTGGTCATATGTACTTACATGGATTTTAGACGGCAGGAGGCATCTAAATTTAATATGCTTATGTGAATTAGAAATCTTCAAGAGCAATTATATATTACAGGGTTACATAGTGTTTCTCAAGCTTATGTGGCCACAGACTTTTCCTTCCTTCCTTCCTTTCTTCTCTTGCTTCCTGGCTTCCTCCCTCTCTCCTTCCCTCCCTCCCTTTACTGAGGAGCACCTCACAGGGTTACTGTTCCATAGAAGCTACTGTTGGATCAACTCAACTGCTAAATGTAAAACTAATGAGATCCAGGCCAAACAAATGCCTGCCAGACCCGGTTCCCTATATGCAGGCTGCACACCTAATCCTAGCCAGCTGACCTGTGAACATGTGTTTTTATTCTCAAAGGAGACTAGTGAAGAAAACATTTGTCAGCCTACAGTTTGCACTATAATTTATACACAAATAATTCAAAGCAGATTCTCAACCGCCTGTGGGCCGGCAGTATAGTCGTATAGAAGGGCTAGTACATTGGTTTTTGATATTTAACTATAAATAGAGACTGGGATTCTCAATGTATTTCAAGCTTCTTTGAGAGATCAAAAGCTATGGGATATCAGAATGTTTCCTCTTCCCTGTTCCAAATAGGATTAGCTCTAAAAATTAGAAGATAATTGCTAGTTTGTTCTTAAGTCATCTATAATCCATTCTCCCAATGATACCAGGTACAGCAGAATAAATGTTTGGCATATAAAATGTTCTGTGTCTATAACAGAATAAAAAGGCAATTTTCCATTGCATATTTATGTGATATAGGGCAAATTTCTAGTTTATACAAGAATAGAAAATTTGTATAGGTTTGTTACTTTCCATATGGTTATGGCAGTGCAATATTTCAGTTCATCGGTAATCTAATTAATATTTGCTTACGAAAATGCAAACATTAAAAAGCTGTTTTAACAATAAGTGGGTTTAGCACAATGTCACAGAAAAGTTAATTCATTTAAAAACAATATTTTCTATTAAATTTCAAACGTTGCACAGATTTTCTAAAATCTAACCTCTAGGTGGCAGTAAACTGAATTAGCCAAAAGTACTTTTGATATTTTTGTTTTAAATTATTTCATTTTTAAACGTTGTCTGCGTGTGGCCTCTGGTACTAATCTTCTAGATTACTTTTGAAACCAGCATTTTCTTGGAGAATGCTGTCCTTTGATAATTTCGTTGCTGGCGTTGTTCCAAAAATACACTGGAAAGGTTTAAGTTATTACAAATTTATAATACCATCTATAATAGTGCATTAAGAATTTTCCAATGAATGGAAACTATGTTTTTATAGCTCACTGTCCTCTGAGCAAGCTGGAGGGAGTGACCACTTACGAGAATGAATCAGGTCTTTCTAGAAGAATACTCTGATTATAGAAAACCTGCCAGACATCAGTAATTTCCTTTTCTGGGTATATAGATCAAGGCATACTTGAGAATAGCACTTAATTTTTGGTTTTTGTTTTGAAGTATTTACTGTACAAAATAATTTAAAATATAAACAGCAGAATCATGTGCCATAAATCTGTTGCCATGCCCTAATTTCATAGACTTTGAACCTTTGAATATTAAGTTCAGATTCAGGATTGGTAATTATAAAGATGTGACTTAAAGATACTTTAATATATATGCCAGTTTAACAGTAACTAGTAAAAACTGCATGTATATGTTTATTTAAACCTACCAGCGCACAGATTTCCATGGTGATATGGACAAGAGAAGTCATCCTTTTCACAGTATTTTCCATACACTTTTCCAAGCTTAATTTTGTGACATAGACATTTCCCACAAACACAAACTCCTCGACCACTGCAAACAGGTTGATCCTTGTGTGACTTGCAACTCTCAGAAGGAAATTGATCTTCATCAAAATGACATTTATTCTCATTACACTGGAAACACTTGGCATCTAGAAAAACTTCATCTACACACTTTCGTTTAGGTGCTCTCCCGTCATCACACTGACAGCTGCAGTTTCTGTGTATATGAATTTTAGTGGTTTCATTGAAACCAATAGGTTTGATTATTGCATAGCTCTTTCCTCCTGTGACGTCACACTTTTTCATTGTAACTGTTACATTGAAAAGAACCTAAATGGGGGAGGGAAAGAAAATATATTTATATGTCCTGATTATTTTTATCATCACTATTATATCTGTTAATGCTATTCTGAATCAATAATGTACCATCTTATAGAAATTTATAATACTTTGTAAATTACACATGCAGTCTTTAATAGGTAGATGTAACATCCCTTTTTAATTTAATTTATTTCCTAATTAATGAACTAGAGAGTTAAAGGAAGCAATGACTGCTACTTGTCTGTATTGTACCATTAAATGGATATGGGTTCAAGCTTATTTGAAATGGCCTCCATCGACTTCTTAGCAAACTTGAGAGAGGATAGATCATCTTCTGAATTAAGTCCTAAAATGTGGGGTTATTGAATATTTCGCACAAGGGAGAGATCAAATAAACTAAAATAAAGGACTATTGCTCTCCTGGTTTAAAACCATGAGACAGGATGTTCAGATGAACAATTCTTATTTTTGTTCCTATTTCCTAGGGGCCCAAGTAAAGTTTCAGGGTTCAATTTTAGTTTATACATGGTATTAATGAAGGACAACATGAGGCTTTCTCTGATGTTACTTAAAGGAGAAGGATTTAGGACTCTCAGATTTTTTTTTTTTTAAGATTTTATTTATTTGACAGAGAGAGACACAGCGAGAGAGGGAACACAAGCAGGGAGAGTGGGAGAGGGAGAAGCACGCTTCCCGCCGCTGATGCGGCCGATGCGGGGCTCGATCCCAGGACCTGGGATCATGACCCCGAGCCGAAGGCAGACGCTTAACGACTGAGCCACCCAGGCGCCCCAGACTCTTTCTGATCTTAAGATCTCAATACAAGGTTGTCTTTTACAAATACATTTGTCTCAGATGTGAGTCCACAACTAAAGATCTGGGTTGGCAGGAGTTTATTTCCCTTGTGAAACGACAGATCCTGCCAAGTTTTACCTTTTTCTCTATTTTTTTTTTCTTTTTGCAGGACATGATTGGTTTAATGTGTCTTTTGTATTTGTTAGCCTACCTTATGATCTTCAGGTACTTTGGCAAATAAGATTGTAGGATTTTTCCATTTTAGACTGAGATCCATTAAAATTTAAAAATAATTTGTGGTAGCCTTTTTTGTTGGGATGTATATATATATATATATCCACTCTGACCAAAAAGCCTAGCACAAATACACACGCACGTGCACACACACACACAAGATATGAAAAATCTAACTTTAGGCTTATATATTACATATATGCATCAGAAATTAGAATCAGCTTCACAATATTAAAATTAATGCAGTTGGTTTTTTTGTCTTTAAGAATATTAATGATTGGAGCGCCTGGGGGGCTCATTCGTTAAGCATCTGCCTTCAGCTCAGGTCATGGCCCTGGGTCCTGGGATCGAGCCCCACATCGGGCTCGCTGCTAGGCAGGAAGCCTGCTTCTCCCTCTCCCGCTCCCCCTGCTTGTGTTCCCTCTCTCGCTGTGTCTCTCTCTGTCAAATAAATAAATAAAATCTTTAAGAAAAAAAAAGAATGTTAAGGATTAACAGATAGGTAGGATAATGTGGTCATTGCCAATATTAATAGAGCAAAACTTGGGGTTTATATAATTAAAAGGTCACATGACTCTTCCTGAAAGTCAAACTGTTTATACTACTTAGTTGAAAGTGAGGGGGGGGAAGGGATTATAGACAAAGGAAAAAAAAAAAAAGGTAAGTAAGGAAAACCATTCTGCCAAAATTGACTTTGAAAGAAAGAACTTACTAAGAGGCTAACCCTTTCTCAAAAACTTTTCCTAGCACAAAGTTTATCTGTAATGGAAATCAAATATATATATTGTATAAACTGATATGTAATGTCTTGGACAAAATCCATGAAGTGATTATGCAAGGACCTACAGAATTTGATACTAGCAACAACTGAGTTCAAATAGACAGCTCGTGAGAGCAACTATACTACCCGCAGGTTCTAAACTTTCCAAGGGAGAAAAATACAGCATAGAACTTTAGAGATGAAAAGAAGAGGGATTAGAAATCTTCTAGTCTGAACAGATCATTTAAAAATGAGGCAACTGATGCCTCAAAAGGTAAATGGCTCACTGAAAGTCACTGCATCTAATAAGAATTCCCTTTAAAAGCATATTTCTGTGTGTTTACTCTCTATTGTGCCGATACCGGGAGAATCCCTCTCTCTCCTGGGCTTATTTCCTAACACTGCAATAATTTGGGCCCTTTTTTCCCCACATTTTATCCCTTTTTAGTTAAATGACACTTCCTTTTTATTGTTTTTAATAAAATCCCCTACCTCTTTCTAGATCATTATGAGTGTATTGGGACAATAATAACACAGTGAAAGATTTTGGAATTCTTAGCCTTTATCAACTGCTCCATCACTCCTATTCTTTTCTGTGGCTTATTACTGTTGATTTCAAATTTATTCTGAGAATTTTCAGATTTGAAACCAAAAAGGTGTCATCATCAACAAGACACTGCTTGTTTGAAGAGATGTGCTTTACTGATATACAGTGGCTGTGACCCCTAAGTTTAAAGTTATTAGTATTATTATTTTTAAAGATTTTATTTATTTATTTGACAGAGAGAGACACAGCGAGAGAGGGAACACAAGCAGGGGGAGTGGGAGAGGGAGAAGCAGACTTCCTGTGGAGCAGAGAGCCCGAAGCGGGACTCGATCCCAAGACTCTGGGATCATGACCTGAGCCAAAGGCAGCCACTTAACCGACTGAGCCACCCAGGCACCCTGAAGTTATTATTATTAAATAAGTATTTAAAACAGGATGTATTTATTTAACTTGAGAGTTTGAGAGAACAGTCAGTGGAGTTAAAACAAGTAGGAACTTTGGAAAGAGATAATAAAAATTACTTTGAAGTGTATACATAAGATCTTTGGGGTCAGTAGTAAATAAAGTTTTCCAGAATGGTTTGATTTTTCTGTGAGAAACATGCCAGACAACTTGATTTATTTTAAATGGGAAGAATGTACACCCACATACTTCGTCATTGCTTGTCACATTTCCACATCCGTCTGTGCCTGGTTTTCTGGTCCCATCTGGACAGATGGCGGTAATATTAAAATAGACGCCTTTTACCTGGTTTTCCACCTGAACTTTCACTTCTGAAATGAGTTTCTGCAGAGACATCATTTTTTGATTGTATATCACATAAGTTTCAAATGTAAGCAGTTAAACAGGGGCAATCTTATTAAATCATTCTAGATTTAATTTTTAACTAAATCAAAGACTGTCTCTATAAAAGGATAAATAAATGTAGTGTTTCCACATAATGACCCAATTATATTTGAGATACATAAGAAATACTGAGGGATTAAACCATCTGCATTTAAATTGTTCTATTTTTTCACATATCTCCATGAATGTGCATTTTGACTTTAAAGATATTTCTCGGGGAGACGAACCATGAGAGACAATGGACTCTGAAAAACAAACTGAGGGTTCTAGAGGGGAGGGGGGTGGGGGGATGGGTTAGCCTGGTGATGCGTATTAAAGAGGGCACATTCGGCATGGAGCACTGGGTGTTATGCACAAACAATGGATCATGGAACACTATATCAAAAACTAATGATGTAATATATGGTGATTAACATAACAATAAAAAATTAAAAAAATAAAGATATTTCTCACTCAGCCTGTTACAAAAATAGTCATTTTAAATCCAACAATATTTATATTTTGTGACAAAATTTAAATAAAACATTGAGAACACCTATATTGTCACAAAGGGTAAATCTTAACAGCTTAAAATCTGGAACACATTTCTGACATTTACAGCTATTAAATAAACATTTCCATTTCAAACACTTTAGGCTATCATGAAAGCTAAAATACCTTAGTGATACAGCATTGAAAGGTAAGTTTTGGGGAGGGCATTTCTATACTGTAGGCATAAGAATTACCTGCCTGATAGGGTCCTGTAAATTCTCCAAGAATGGTGACTAACATAACAGAAAAAAAAAAAAAAGGGGGAGTGGCCTACAATTTTTGCCAAGTCCCTGGGGCTTGCTTGTGTCAGATTTGTTCTAATCCTTAATACTGAAATGGGACCACTTACTAGACAGAAAATCATTCACTCATTTATTCATTCATTTTTCAATTACTCAAAAAATATCTATATAAAACTTATCATGTATCAAGCACACACAGATTTCTTCCAGCACAGTCTCTGGTTCCAAAATTTCTAGCTACATTAAATAAATACTGAAGATCTGTGTGTATTTCATCTCATAAAACAGTCTACCACATGCAAAAATCCTTAACTTATATTTATAAACAAAAAAGATGAAGTATATACCTAAGGAAAGAGTGAGTAGCAGGATATGAAGAAAAAAATATTTTCTAATGGCTTCTAATTATTTACTTGAGTAAATTTTCATCTTCAGCTGTATAATCGATAAAGAGATGTGTGCTTACTGCCTGATAGTTGACCATGGTGGTAAATCTAGAACAAGATACTTCTTCAAGTTAGTAAATTTTATTTGGATTTGATAAGACTGTGTTAGCCACATTTTTAAATCTCTCAGAGAGCTCATCCATTATAATCACTTAATTGAACATTCTCAGCAAACCAACAGAAACTTGTAATGGTATATAAATGGTGTTGATAGGGTGATGGTTTGACAGATCAGAAGGAAATTCCTAATACAATGAGTGTCTCAGTTTGCCCTTCTGAAGTTCTTTCTCTTAAAAAGTTAACCTTGTCACACTAATGTTTTTCACTTAAGCAGGATTGAAGACAAATATCTAAAATTTTGCCTAGTTTTGAGATTTAGAAATTAGGCTCCAAACACAATATTAAGTTTCCTTTTTAATATCTAACAAGTACAGAGGCAGAATTTATTTTTTTGATGTATAATTCTGTTTGTATTCAATATAATTTACTTTTCATTTCTTAATTTCAGCTTAATTTTTTTAGTCATGATTTTTATTTAATTTAATAAAAAATAAAATGCAGTCACATTCACCATGCACTAAATTTGTTTGTGATTTTATAAAATTCTTAAAAAGGAAATGCAAAAAATTAAAGTTAGAATGAAATATTTTTATTATTTTTCTTCAATGAATTGTGAATTAATTCTGTTGGATTGTGAAGACAAAATAAAATTTCAGAAGAATTTTGAAAATATACATATATGTAAAATAACAGAATCTCAACTTAAGGAGATTAATTAGCCAGAGTAAGTCTTACTGGATTTGCTAGTATTTTCCCATTGTTTAAGGTTAATCAGAACTGCAGTTAGCCAAAGCACTGAATACCTATCCTGGACAAATAAAGAACATAAAACCAAATGCTGCTGGTTCCCTTTCCATTAGTACGGTCTGACACACAGGCAAGTTTGTCAATTTATGTTCCTTGTTTGGAGTAATAAATGGGTTCATACTATAAAAATAAAAACTAGGGTGATTTCTAACACTGCACATTCCCTCCTTATTTTGATTATTCCTGGGAACAAACTGCAGATGGGAATGAACTGTACACGTTTCATCTTCCTTGATAAGAAGCTCCCCCTAATCCTAATGTTCTTTTGTAACAGTGACAAACAAAAATAAAGATGGTCTTCCTTATTTCATTCAACGTAGTTTTCAGATACAGAACAATTCCTTGGCAAAAAAAAAAAAAAAAAAACCTCAAAAGATTTATTTTTCTTTTAAAAGAATAAAGTTTAAACGAGTCCTTCATTTTCTATCCCATGTGTACTTCCTGACTTTTCCTTTTGTGCTCAAGTAGAAGGCAGATGTTGCACAGAGAAAATAAAAGAAGCCTGAGGTTGCTCACAATGCTTGGGCTACTGTGTACACTATTCATCTCTACTGTGTAAGAAAGAGAATCAGAGAATTTGGGAAGTGAGACTTAATCAGTGGTCCATAAGTTCAAGGTAGAGTAAAGCATACTTTTGGATAGTTTGTAAAAAACAACAACAACAACAACAAAAAAAAAACAAAAAAAAAACCAAAGAAAGAAAAACAAGTGTTATCACACAGAAGGAAGCACCTGAGGCCTAGAGTTAAGAAAGACCTGGGTTCTGGTCCTGATCCTTTTGCTTGTTTGACCTTTGGTTAGCTTGCTTAGCTTCTTTGAGGTTCTATAAATACAAAATAGGAGTACTAACATCTTCCTTATGGATTGGCTGTGTGGATTAAATGAGGTCATGTATGGAAAGTAACTGTTTCTGGGTGGTATTAAAGTAACAATCACAATTACTACAACATTTTAACAGTGATTATTCTATCCAAGAATGACCTATGCTGAGAGAGCAGATGTTTCTATAAATCTTTGCATTTGGCACTCACTCTTCATAGACTAGGGACAGCATACAACTGTCAATTCAATAAAATAGTATACCTCTTAAGGTGATTGTTTTAATCAAAGTAGTTTGATAACACTGCTAAAATACCTGATTAAACAATCAAGTGATTAATTTAGGAGACCCCAACAGAGTCCTCTCAGTAATCTCTATATCCCAGATAGTACATTTTCAGAAGACAGTTTGCTGCTTTAAATAGTGTGGATTTCTTTATCTTTATGACATAGGAAATTGTGACATTTCTGATAATAAAGTATGTGTTTTATAGCCATGATCTGGTGACTTATGGAACATTTGATTTAGAAGAAAATTTAGATAGCCTCTAGCCCAACTTGAGTTTACTGTCAATGAGATGGTGAAGTAAAGACAGCTGACGTGAATTTCCCAAGATTACATGGTTAAGTTAGTGATAGAACCAGGGCTAAATTCATGTTAATTTTTAACCTAATTTTCTGTCCACCATTCCTCTCAAGTTGATAGGGCACTAATTTGTATCTTGCCACAGAAACTGGGGTTAAAAGTTTACACAGACCTATACCTTTGAAACAAATAATACATTATATGTTAAAAAAGAAGAAGAAGAAGAAGGAAGGGAAAAATGAAGGGGGGGAAATCGGAGGGGGAGACGAACCACGAGAGACTATGGACTCTGAGAAACAAACTGAGGGTTCTAGAGGGGAGGGGGTTGGGGGGATGGGTTAGCCTAGTGATGGGTATTAAAGAGGGCACATACTGAATGGAGCACTGGGTGTTATATGCAAACAATGAATCATGGAACACTACATCAAAAACTAATGATGTCTTACACAATTCACAGCAAAAAAAAAAATTATGATGAGAAGAAAAAAATTAATGATGTATGGTGATTAACACAACTTAATAAAATAAAATTTAAAAAAGTTTATATGAAAAAATTGTGTGTAATATATACATACCTGATAGGCTTCTACTACCAAATTATTGAGGTTTGCAGCCTTTGATTCTATTTCACCAGCAATGGTGCCAGGCAAGAGGGGTAGAAGATCCTAGAAAACATACCAATAATATTTACTTAATGACAGTAGTATACAGTGGCTCAGTAATCAACAAATATTAAAAATTCTTAGAGTTATAAGTGGAAGGTGAGCCATTACATGAATAAAAAAATATAAGATACAAGAAAAATATAAGCAACCAAGTAGGGCACCAGACCATATACACCTGAAATGGGAGTGTGTAGGTATATGTGCATGAGTGTGTATGGGTGCACAAATTACACGTTGACCTAAAAACCCAATCAAAGTACAGACCAAGATTTCCCAAAGTATTTTCCATATTCCATGGAACATAGTTATCAAAAGGATTCTGAGGGCAAGTACTGCATATGGTTTCTTCCACTTAGATAATCAAAATGCACATTTGTAAAGGTTCAGAGAAGTCTTGGAAATAATTTAGCAGTATTTGTTGCAGCATTTCCAACATTTTAAAATTACAAAACCCTTTTCTCATGTAACATATGTAAATATTTTGCAGAACTAATGTTCTGTGGAGTGACCTTTAGGACATGTTGGCCCAGAATGGAGAAAAAAAATCATTGTCACAAGTGGAAGCTTCATGGAGTGGGTATTCTTGATGGATGTCAGTTAACAATTATGGAGAAAACTCTAGGTATTTCTAAGTGAGAAAATGAGAATTAGCAAAGGCTTAAAGGTTTACCTGAGTTCTAGATGAAGTAAAAGACAAGAAACCAGTCTGACTGGAGTGAAGGCTGAATATTTTTAAGGAATCAGATTATGGAAAGTCTTAAAATCCATTTATACACCCATTTTACCATTCACAAGTATTATTAAGTTCCTGTTGTATGCCAGTCACTACTGGGACATTAACAATTTGGTATCTTAGGTAATAGGGAAAATGTATCACTCACAGATTTTTAAAAGCCATTTATCTAACCTTTATTAAGTACCTATTATGTACCACTTGGCAGTTTCCATCCTTAAGGATCTCACAGGTATATAAATGACAATTTCAAAAAACAGTGTACACATGAAGTAACAGAGATATGCACAGACCCTGATGAGAGGGATGCCCAGCAAGTGTTTGAGGGCTGAGGAAGGCTGTCAGGGATGGTTTCCTGGAGGAGGTGACTCATGAACTGTATCTTAAAGGATGACTAAGAGTGAGCCAAGTAATGAGGGAAAGAGACTCCCAGGCAAGGGGGAGAGGTAGCAAGAACAAAGGCAAAAAGGAAAGAAAGAACCTGGTGAGTGTGTATGCACAGGAGACTTAAAAGCATGGCTAGAAGGACAAGTGTAAGGCAAGAATAATGGGGGATAAGAGAGGCAAGCAGGGACCAGATGGTCTCATATGCCACATTAAAGACTTGATCCTTTAAATCAGAGAGAACCACTGGAATATTTTGCTCTAGGGAGAACTTTGGTCACAATTGTGATTTAATAGATCATCCTGCAGACAGGTATAGGATGCATTTGGGAGACAGGTTAGGAGGCTGTTACAACCCAGATGAAGGTAGTTGATAAAACTATCTCTGGGCAGCCAAAGTAGGTGACTGCAAAGACATACACAGGATTCTTGGCAAAACTTGTCAGGCTTTCTGAGCCTGTTGATTCATACTTTATACACAATTTAGTTAATAATAAACTGGTTTATGGTTTTATCCATCAATGAAAATCTTTTTAAAGGAGTAGGGAGAAACTGCTAAAGCCAATAACAACATCAAGAAATAATACAGCAGAGAAGGACAAGGCTAAAGTAGTAACAACCTGCACAATAATTTGAAATTCAACTATTTTTTTCTCTCTATAGTAAAGTTTATTTTTTATTTAAGTTACACTGTCATTCTTTTTTTTTTCAAATTTTTATTTAAATTCTAGTTAGTTATCATACAGTGCAATATAGGTTTCAGGAGTAGAATTCAGTGATTCATCACTTACATACAACACCCAGTGCTTATCATATCAAGTGCCCTCCTAATATCCATCACCCACCTCCCTTCATCAACCCTCTGTTCTCTATCTTTAAGAGTCTCTTATGGTTTGTTTCCCTCTCTCTCTTTTACTTTTTTTTCCCCTCCCACATGTTCATCATCATCAGTTTTTTATTTCTTAAATTCCACACATGAGTGAATTCATATGCTATTTGTCTTTCTCTGACTGATTTATCTCACTTAGCATAATACACTCTAGCTCCATCCATGGCATTGCAAATGTCAAGACTTCATTCTTTTTGATAGCTGAGTAATATTCCAGTGTGTGTGTATACACACACCACATCTTCTTATCCATTCATCAGTCAGTGGACATTTGGGCTCCTTCCATAGTTTGGCTATTGTTGATAATGTTGCTATAAACATTGGGGTGCATGTACCCCTTCAAATCTGTATTTTTGTATCCTTTGGGTAAATACCTAGTAGTACAATTGCTGGATCCCACAGTACTTCTATTTTTAACTTTTTGAGGAACCTCCATACTGTTTTCCAGAGTGGCTACACCACTTTGTATTCCTGAAATTCAATAATTAAGCTGAGAGGTAAAGAGCACAGGACTTAAGCTGTTCGGAAAGTTTGGCCAAGAATATAACCTCTCTGAATGTGTTTCCTTATCTTTAAAATGGGCTTTAAATTGGTAATACTTCCCTCATTGTTATGAGTATTACATGAGTTAATGTTAATAAACTCAGGGCCTGACAATAGTGTTCAATAAGTGGAATCTGTGACTTTGTTAACAAAGTAGCCTGGGCATTTAATTTGGGCTAGAGACCTACTTCTGTGAATATCAATGGTTATTACATTAAAAAGGGGTTCCATGGTATACCAGTTTGGGAACTGATTAAAGTTTCACTGAAGATTTCTAAGGGAAGAAGTGGCATGATTAAAGTGGTGCTTTCAGATGAGATACACAGTGGTCAGGTATTGGGGAAATAGGTGGAGGGAACACCAACTTTGTGGCTAATGCAAACAGATTCAAGCACTTGTTGAAGATGAAAGGAAATGTAGTTTCTCTGAAGTATTAAGAGAAGTAAGTAAAGGACAGTGGGAGTGGAAAGAAGAAGCAGAGACAACAAAGGAGATGGAGATCCACTGAACAGACATGTGCAATAAAAATTAGGGTATCACAACGTCATGAAAATGAAGAAAAGAGTTTCCTGGAAATAGGACCCTAGAAGACTGCAAAAAGAATATGACAACGGGGTCCCAGAAGCAGTTTTTTGTTGGAAGTGGGTCACATGATGCTGCCAGAGTGACATGGCTGCAAACATCTCTTCTGTTTGTGGGTCTCATCTAGCCTGAAGGATTGTGGACAAAACCAGTATTAGTCTTATGTAGCAAAGCTCTGACTGGATCAGCCACTTCCGTGGCTCCTCTTGTTCCTTTACTAGATCACCTAGACCAAATCTAGGTATGTTGTTACTATTGAAAACTAAGCTGATGTTCCCCAACCCAATCTATTATAAGAATATGCCCATGGACCAGAACAGAAGCAGAAATCCAGACATGAAAGGTGTAGTTGGAATGTGAACTATTTTTTACCTGATAAAATTCTTCTCCATTATTGTCACAGTCAGTACCACACTAAGTATCAGTCCCTACACTTGGTTCAAGGTATTACATAGATAGAATGTATATGTAAATGCTAATTTAAGACACTGTGTGGTATACATTAGTTAATACATTATTAAATTCAGAGTGTACAAAGTACAATAACTCTAGAATCCTTGCCTGGGGATCTAAAGAAGTATTCTAATTTCAACTACCAATGCAAACATTTTCATTTTTATTTTTTGGGAATTAACTTACCTTATACCAATGAAACTGTTTTCCTTGAACTGCAAAGATGACATTAATGTTGTTGTCTATTAACTTTTCAGAAAGTTGGCCTAGTGAGGGATGTTCCTGCAAAGGATAATAAAAAAAGAAGGGAGTGAAATATAGTAGCTCAATCCCACACATACCTAAACATCCATTATGAGGAAAACCATATGACTGACATAAAAATGTAGTGTGTTTGGAAGGATTATGGTTTTATTGAAGGCATTTAAACTCCTTAAAAAAATAAGATCAACATCAATGTATTAAGGATATTTTCTAGACAAAAGCCCCATAAAAACCTTTAACTCAGAAAAATGAAGAGGGCTGATTCAACGTTGTGCAAAGTGTGTTCAGCACCTAACTTTGGCCTCACAGTTATATAACTGAAAGATAATGTACTATTCAGAAATAGAGACACATTAGTGACAATCATATTCTGAAATTTAGTACAAGTGCTGAAATGCAAATATATGCATCTATAAACATAAATACATAGATATTCAATATATAATACGAGATAGTATAAACTTTATTTAGAAGCAGAAAACCCTGTATTCAAATCCCAGGTTGTCACTTTATGATAAAAATTCTATCTCAGGTCCATTCTCTGTAACACGTCAATGGTTTCTGCCTTCCATGATTGCAAGCAAGATTAAAAAGATACCAATCGTATGTGATTTAGTTAGTGCAGCTTCTTACATACAGTAGGTGCTCAAAACTAATAGCAATTATCATGATTTTTATTTCCAGTAGTTTATACAAGATGTATACAGATCTCTCAACTTGTCAGTATACTTAACCTTTTGGTCATGTGATATATTATAAATCTCTTTTACTTTGATAAATAAAACTTAGGCGCAGCCAACTGTGACATTCTTTCTGTTAGTGAGAAAGCTGGGGAAGAGTAGAACAGGTATACAATTTAGTAAATATGAGAAATCAGCCAACTATGGAATGGTATCTAAAGTTATATAGTTAGACATGGTACTTGATATTTTTTCCTTCTTTAAATTCTCTTCCAGAAATTAAAAGTGATCTCAAATAACAACTTCATAACTAGACACTTCTCAGAGGGATGATGTCAAACTTCACCTACAGTGGTCCTCACCTGTTCACTGTTGCTTAGTTGCATTAGCTAAGTTGCAAATTAGGATCATGTGACTAAGCCTAATTAGTATCATTTGATTCAAGTTCAAATAACTATAGTTTTTACTCCTCCTTTCACCCTCCAATGCTAATTGTGTTTTCTTTACGGGGAAATTTTGCTAAACCATCTTGGTTAACATTTCTGTATTTGGGCAAACTATGTGAACTTAGTAAAAGAGCTAATTTAACTAGAGTTTCCCTTATAGCCTAAGTTCTGAGACCCATATATTAAACTTACATACATAGATATAAGATATAGCCTTGGGTTTAAAAATACTATCACTCACATGAGTAACTGCTAGGATCTGATTATCTGTGCCCTCCTCTCCAAATTCACATGTTGAAATCCTAACCTCCAAGGTGATGGTGTTAGGAAGTGGGCCTTTGGGAGATGATTAGATCATGAAGGTGGAGTCCTCATGAATGGGATTAGTGCCCTTACAAAAGAGGGCCAGTGGAGAAAGCCACCTTGCCCCTTCCACCGCGTGAGGTGGTGGAAACATTACAGCTAGAAGGTATCTTGTATGAACTAGAAAGGAGGCTCTCACAGATCCCGAATCTGCCAGTGCCTTGATCTTAGACTTAGCAAACTCTAGAACTGTAAGGAATAAATTTTTATTATTTATAAGTCACATAGTTTATGGAGTTTTGTTACAGCAGCCTGAATGGACTAAGATAGTAACCATAACAAATATGTTTTATTTCTATATAACCTATTATTGTTCTGGTAGAAACAAATCAAATTTTCATGAACTTCATTTAATGTGATATGAAACTAATTTATGAAGAGGCTAAAGAAGTATTATCACATGGATTTGCATAAGAAAAATTCTGCCCAGAGCAATTCTTAAGAATATAATTTAGAGTAATAGAAAATCAATTCCCAAAATATAAATTCTGCCAGATAAATTCTTATGCCTTGCTCCTAATACTATGTATACTCTTAAAATAGATTTATGACAGTTTCCATAATGCTAGTAAATTAAAGAGAACAAGTCAAGGAAGGGTAAATCTAGTTATACTGGGAATATTTTTTTAATGGCAACAACTACTTTTGAAATATTTTGTTTTGACAAAAAAATCAGTTTGCCAAGCATTCCCCCTTAATTTTAAAAACCATTCGTATTTTAAGGAAAATTTAATCCATATGTTTTTAACTAGTTTATACTTAACTCACATAAAATCAGTATTTAAAGAACAGTCCAAAATGTAAGCAGCTTTTGGAGCCTTCTTAATCTCTTTCCCCTTTTCAAAAACAGGAAGTCACATTGACGAAAAGTACACAAAATTTAAATCTAAAAAGTTCTAGTTTGGTCAGAAGCTCATTAAGAAGGTCAACTGGATTTTTAAATTTAAAAGAACACTTTTTTTTTAAACCCGAGAAAGAAATCTGTTTTAAGAGAAAATTCCAGATACTTCGAGGCAGATTTGTTAAAATTACAAATGTTTAACAGATGTTTTAATAAACCACTGTTGACAGGAGAGCTGTGGATTAATGGCCATTTATGAAGCCCCTTCCCCTTTCCTCCATGAAGCATATTATCTTTTATGTCTTGTATTTCACTAGCAGAACGCTCCCTCTCCGCCAGCTGTCCTATTCTGGTGACGTCACTCCTTTTCATCTCTAACTCCCCCTCTGTCTAACCCATTACATATTGTTTCTCTAAACTCTGAAAATAATTAACAGAGATAACAGGCATTTCAGGGGCAAAAGGGAGAAAGGAAAGCAATGTACCAAGACAGCTGCTAAGTATTTAAGGGCAAGAGGATTCCTTTCACATTTTTCTTATTCACCAACACCTTCGCGGTGACTTGTGGGAAATAACTTCTAAATGTCAGAAGGGAAGAGGAGGTAAGAAAGATTCACTGGGAGCAATTCCAGTTAAAGAGATAATCGTGTAAAGGTATATGGGAGAATTTTAATAATGTGCATAAATAGGGACCAAAACAAGAAGTATTTAAGATTCTCTTCATAAAACTGGACCTCGTAGTAAAAATTTTTATAAGCTAATAGAGAATTTGTAGTATTAAATATAAGATGAAAAAAAACCCCAATGTCTTGTTAAATAAAACACTCAATTATCTGGATAATTTTTTTTACAGTTCATTTTTTAGAAGAAAAACAACATGAAAGCAATCTGCTAGCAGAGATTTATTTAAAGATGAAGACTTGAAATTCTGTGTTGTCAGTCCCCATCTTATTGCAATAGCGTATTTTCTATTTGCATAGTTGCACAGTATTAATCACATAGCCCAGGGTTTCTCGTCAGTGGCATTAGTGACATTTTGGGCCGAGTGTTCCCTATTGTGGGTGAACTGTGCTTGGCTGGTGCACTGCAGGATATTTAGCAACATCCCTGGCCTCTACCTACTAGATGCCAGTATCTCCTGCCTTCTGCAGTTGTTGTAACAACCAAAATGTCTCTAGAGATGGACATGTCCTCTGGGGAGACAAAATCACTCCACTGGAGAACCATACCAAGAGCAGAGGCCCTGGAAACAGACCACCTGGGCTCTAATGCCTGGTTCTGCAATGACTAGCTATGTAACACCGGATAATTGTTGTAATCTTTCTGTGATCCAGTATTTATAAAACAGGTATAAATACTAGTACCGACCTCTCATAGTTATGGTGGAGATTAAATGAGTTAATATGTATAAAGGCTTTCACTTATCATTCTGTAGTTATTAAATCCAGATTAATGGTGAGTGGGGGCTCATTCCTGATGTCACACTGCTTGCCATTTACCATAGGCACCACTACGTAGGGCTCTGTGACCACAGACTAATTCCTGATCCCTTTATACCCCCATTTTCTCATTCATAAAATGGAGGTAGTAGCAATATCTATACCTCACTGTGATGTTGGGTGATGTTATATAATGTAATGGGCAAATACCACAGGACTTAATAAAAGACAGCTTTCAGGAAAATACCGCTTAGTGAAAGACATTTGGAGGCCATTACTAAAGGCTAGGTGTTGGGCTCTGCTTGGATATGCTTTGTTTGACTTGCTTCATTTGTTACGCCTTTGTACCTGGCCCCTCAAGTGTTTGAATTTGTAGCTCCTGCCAAATACTGTATCATTGTAATCACGACATCCCAGTTGCTGAAGGAAGGGGATCGACTAATAATTTTTATAAGTTTTTCAATGAAAGTGGTTATAAAAAGTTCTCTGCTTAAATATGATTGAACTGAAACATGTCATTTAATGGGATCATTCTATATAAATATTTTCATCACGTTTGGTTTTTACTGTGTCACTTTTGCAAACCATCATTTTTTTTCAGAGTTCATTTTCAGAGTCATTATAAAAGCAGTGCCAGCCCAGGTGTTTCCATGTGCAACCTCTGCTTTCAACTTAAAGGAAAAAAATAAACTAAATATTGTTGGCAGAGATCATTCCCTGGCTATTTTTCTTTGAGCATGAGAAACCTTCGAATTAAGTCTATTCTAAAGTTATTGAAGTCATTACTGTTGTTATGGCATTTACAATTTAAAACAGTTAAGAGAGCAATAAGCTGAAATCAGGCATTTTGTTAGTTTTTAAAGTTGTAACAATATTTTTAAAAACTCAACTGCACCTGCACTTAAAACATGACTTAAAACTTTCTAGGTGCATTCTACCTAGTTGACATTTCCTTTACTTTTCTGATTGTGCATGTTATTACCCAAAGGTGCTTAGTGAAAGACATTTCTCTAAACTGGCCTTATCTCTTTAATTAATTTTAAAGAAGTTATATTTTATGTAGTGTTAAGCGGAGAAAAAAAGTAAATAAGGTGAAAAGTATTATTATATGCTTTAGGTGAGCCATATTAGAATTACTGTTATTATTCTCATAATTACAAATCAGTGATTTCCATGAAACTAAATAAATACTAATTCCCTTAAAAGGATGGTTTTGGTTTAGATGGCCTCTCCATTTGACTTTAAATAG